TGCTAGGTCCGCCCAAATCAATCCTTAGTCAAGTAAATCCCCCCACATACTTGCCTACAGGGCAATCTGATAGAGTCCTTTTCTCAATTAAGATTCTCTCTTCTCGGGTATGTCTGTTTGTCAAGTAGACAATAACCAACCAACCACTCCTAGCATGGTGATAGACAACCATAATCAATCCCATATGATTCCAGCACTTGAGGAAAAAGAGGCAGAAGGATAGCAATTCAAGTTGGCCTGGGTGACATAGCAGTGTCCTGTCTAAAAACAGGAAGGAATGCAGAGAAGGTTCTAGAAGTCGAGTGGAATCTGTAAAAATATAGACTATCAATGGCATACCTGTTATCCAGAGTTGTGTCTAGCACCTATTAACTTCATTCATGGTAGTTACCATTATTGTATTAGTATGTTTTTATTGTTGTTCTTCAAAATTCACTAAAGAAACACAGAAAGGGAGCTTTCTGTTTTTCTAGTTCGTTCTCTTTGTCTCTCTATGCTTCACTCCCCCAGTGCCCAAATCAAACCTAAGGCCCTGCAAAAGCTAGGTACTCTAGCACTAAGCTACATCTTCAGTCCTGCCTTTTTAGTTTTGTGTGTGTGTGTGTGTGTGTGTGTGTGTGTGTGTGTGTGTGATGTGAGCTTGTCTGTGCAGGCATGCCTGCTGATATTGGAATGTCTTCCTCAACTACTTTCTCACCATATACATATACATACATACATACATTTGAGAACCTGGAGCTCACTGGTCCAACAAGACTGGCCCTGACCAGCAAGTCCCAGGGTGCCTCTGTCTCTGCCTCCTCAGCAATGGGATGAATTCTAGGTGTGCACTGTACACCTGTTTTTATCTGGGGACTGAAGGTCCAAATGTGGGTCCTCATGCTTGCATAGCAAGCACTTTATTCACTGAACCCTGTTCCCAGTCCTACTTCTAGTTTCTATTCTAGGGAACGTCTACAGTTGGAAAGATGCCTCAGCTGAGAAGGAAAATCAATGCAATGGGGAAACTAATATATTTATTAACAGGAGAAAGCACTTACATACAAGCTGGGAAGATGAGAAGTGTGGCAGGCTTCCAAGACAAAGAGCTTTGTTTTCCCTTTTTTTATCCTCACCTGTGCCCGTACCCCTGTCCTCGCCCTGGGGCGTGAACAGTATTGTGGGCTCATCCCTACAGTTAGGTGCACTTAACTGTTCTTGCAGAGTTCCTGGATTCAGTTTCCATCAACCACGGTAGTTCACAACTACCTGAATCCCACAAGTTCCTGCACATTCATAGTGCACATACATTAATGCAGACTCACACACAAATTTTAAGAAAATAAACATTTTTGTTTAAAAAAGAGAGATTCTATAGGTTAGAGAGATGGCTCAGAAGTTAAGAGCATTGGCTGCTCTTACAGAGGACCCAGGTTTGATTACCAACACCCACATGGTAACTCACAACCATCTGTGACTCCAGTTCCAAGGGATCTGATACCCTCTTCTAACCTCTAAGGGCATCAGGCATGCATGTGGTAAGCACAAACATCTTCAGGCAAAACGCCCATACACTTAAAATAATTTTTTTGAAAGATTATAGTTAGGACAGTTTTAAGTAGTACTTAAAACATATGTTTAAACATTGTTCCTTGTCTCATTACAGAGCAGAAACGGCCACTATTGTTATTAAATAAGAGGCAATTCCTACTTGAAATAGCATTACATGTCTAGTGCTAAAGACAATGATTTGACAAGCTCAAATAATATATATGAAGATGATAGCCCTCCACACATGTGAACCAAGAACACAGAAGTCATCATACACCGTCATACACACACACAAAGCACACATATAAACATGAGCATGTGCACAATAACTAAACAATAAATGTTAATTTTTTTTGGTTTTACGAGTCAGGATTTGTCTGTATTGTTTTGGAGGCCTGGCCTCGAACTCACAGAGATCTGCCTGCCTCTGCCTCCCGAGTGCTGGGATTAAAGGCGTGCGCCACCACCGCCCGGCAAATGTTAAATTTTTAAAATGGTGTTTCACTTGTAAGTTCAGTCACTTCAGTCATAGCTCCAGTTTTGTTTTGCTTTCTTTCTCTTTCTTTGGTTTGTTGAGACAGGGTCATCATAACGTACCCCAGGCTGGCTTTGAACTCTGGAATCTCATTCTCCAACACCCTCAGTCTCAGAATCATAGGCATGCACCACTACTCTATCTCCTCTCCTTTACCTTTGATAGAACTAGGTAAAGTTTGTCGATTCTTAATTTTTTTCCAAGAAAACTTTTCATTCAATGGATGCCCATTTGTGCTCTATTTCATTTATTTCTGCTCCGATGCTTATATTTCTTTGACTCTGCTCAAATGGAGTTTATATGCTCTCCTTTTTCTAATTTCATAAAGCCAAAAGTAGGTTATTGACTCAAGATCAGCCTTTTTAAATCTATAACAAGTGTTCACAGTTATAATTTCCCTTCTAAATGCTGCTTTAGTGTCCCATGAGATTTGGTGTAGTTTTGTTTTCATTTAGCTTGTGAAAGGATTTTTTTTCTTAATTTCCCTTGTGATTTCTTCTTTTCCCCAGTGGCTCTTCAGGAATGTTCTGTTTAACTTTCACTTTCTAGTGAACCTCTGGTTCCTAATTTCATTCCACTGTGATCAGAGAATACATTTTCCATTACTTTAGTCCTTTTGACTGTTCTGAGGTTTGTTTTATGATCCAGTATTACTGTCTGTTCTGGAGAATATCCACATGCCCTTGAGAAAAATGTATATGTGCTGTTGTTGGATAGTTCCATAGGTGTCCTTTGGTTCTAGTTAGTTTGTAGTGTTTACTATGGAACTCTGGCCAGTTGTTCCCATCACTGAAAGTGCAGTTTTTGAATTCAGCTGTCATTGCTCAATTGTGTATTTCTTTTGTGAATTCTGTAAATTTTTTCTTTATATACTTTAGGGCTCTGTTACTAGGTACATATGCCCTTATAACCTTTATGAATTTCTACCCTTCTACCAATACAAATGCACTCCTGTCTCTCCACTTTAGTTTTAAAGTCTACCTTGTCAGGTATTACTTATCAACACTGTTCTCTGTTTGCTTGTAATATTATTTTCTTCTTTTGCTTTCAAGGTATTTGTTCTTTGAATCTGTTCTGTCTCCAACATAACACATAATTGAATTGTATATTTTCTTACTCCATCAATCTTTGGATCTTGATTGCACTGTTGGTTCCTTTATAATTATATGAGGAATTATGTAATATTTAGTAAAAGATCATTTTAGCAAGTATACTGGCCAATTTTGTGTCAATTTCACACAAGCTAGAGTCATCAGAGAGGAAGGAGCCTCAGTTGAGAGAATGCCTCCATAAGATACAGCTGTAGATAAACCTGTAGGGCATTTTCTTAGTTAGTGATTGATGGGCAAGGGCCCAGCCTACTATGAGCGGTACCATCTCTGGACTGGTGATTCTGGGTTCTGCAAGAAAGCAGGCTGAGCAAGCCATGAAGAACAAGTCAGTAAGCAACATCCCTCCATAGCCTCCTCATCAGTTCTGCCTCCAAGTTCCTGCCCTGCTTGGGTTCCTGTCCTGACTTTCTTTGATAATGAATTGTGATGTGGAAGCCTTAATAAACCCTTTCCTCCCCAAGTTGCTTTGGTCACGGTGTTTCATCACAGAAATAGAAACTCTAAGATACTGAGTGTATTTTGTTTATCAAAAATGTGTGTCCCTTTATGTTTCCAATATTGACTTCTATTGCATTAAATATTGTCTATCATTTTACTTCCATTAGTACTTCACTAGTTTTTCTTGGTCAGTATCCTAGGGACTAAAGTTAGCACACTAGCACAACTATAGGGATGAGGATGGAACTCAGGGGTATATGGGGGGGGCTCTGGATTTGGCCACCAAAACAACAGCAATTAGGGGTCTGGGAAGACAGCTCAGAAGATAAAAATGCTTGCTGGATGAGTATGAGAACTAAAGTTTGAATCCCAAACACTCCCATAAAATGCCAGAAATGGCTGCACAGCCCCAACCCTGGGAGACGGAGACAGACAACCCAACCACAACAGTCAACTTGTGGAGCAGTGAAAGCAGTAAGATGGAGAGTGGTCAAGGAAGACCACAGACAACCCCCTCAGGCCTCCCCACACATGTGCACCCCACATACTTTTACGAATGCCACCACTACAAAAAACCCTTTTCATTAAAACTTTGTTCTTTTTGTTGCATTTAGTTATTTTTTTAATTCAAGTCATCAGGCTTGGTGGCAAGTGCCCAATCCCTAAAGTTTTCAAATTTTCTTCCTTCCTTCCTTTCTTTACTTTTCTTTTCATTGGGCATTGGGTAGGGTCTTTTTGATCAAGTCTCACTATGTATCTATAGCTGTCCTGGAGCTTGATCTGTAGACCAGGCTGGCCTCAAACTCACAGAGATCCTCTTGCCTCTGCCCATTTAGTGCTGGGATTAAAAGTGTGTGCCACCACACACAACACTTCGAATTATTTTAAGTTTAAGAAATAACTCAAAAATAACTGTAGATCTTTTGCTTTAACACATGCCTATAATCCCAGCTCTCAGGAGGTAGAGGCAGTTGGATCTCTGTGAGTTCAAGGCCAGCCCAGTCTACAGAGTAAGTTCCAGGACAGCCACGGCAGTTACACAGAGAAACCCTGTCTTGCAAAACTAAAAAAAAGAAAAAAATAAGATTTTGGATTGTTAGCTGGGTGGTGGTAGCACACACCTTTTAAACCAGCACTCAGGAGGAAGAGGCAGGTGGATCTCTGTGAGTTTGAGGCCAGCCTGTTCTATAGAGCTGGTTCCAGGAGAGCTAGGGCGGTTACACAGAGAAACCCTGTCTTGAAGAACAAAAACAAAACCAAACAAAATTGAATTGTCATCGGAATTCGATTCCTGGAAATCAGAAAGGCTCTACACAAATCCTACTTAGGTACTCATTAGCCTCTAGTGTGCCTTCTTACAGCATGCCTCTGGAATGAACACTTACCTTATCTAATAATACATTCTGCCACAACCTAAATATGCTTAGATAACTTCTGTCTCTGGCACCGAAAGACGTAAAGAAAAACTACAAAGAAAAATAAGGAGACGAATTAAGCACTGTGAAAATTTAAGTACACATCTGATAAACAAAATACACTCAGTATCTTAGGTTTTCTATTGTTGTGATTAAACACCGTGGCCAAAGCAACTTTTCTAGGAAAGGGTTTATTCAGCTTGGGCTTCTGTGTCATAGTTCTGTCATGAAGGATGTGGGGTCCTGCTGACCAAAGCCAACTGCTACCTACTCACCACGCTGTTCTCACTTACCTCTGTGTTAAAGGAAAGATAAATAATTGTTGCATAAATGAAATTTCTCTATAAGCCCTACTCTATAACAATAGTATAAAACACAGTGTTGGTTTTGTTTTCTAGGGAAATGAGCTAAAACTAGACAGCTGTTTATGTTCATCCTAACTTTCTTAAATTAATCTAAATAAATTTATAGAAAAATGAAAGCTGTTTATTCTAAACTTTGAAATAGTAACCTGTCAATTGAGTCACATAAACTAAGATTACAAAAAGTTTTCAAAAATGTATATATTAACGATATGAATTTTAAGTTATGCAGTTTTTCAAGTGTTAAAAATACTCCAAAAATGTTGGATTTCTGAACATAAACACTCAAGTTAAACTCCAAGGCCTCTGATGTTATAGAAAGCAATAGAATGTCCCATCTATAATTCTACATCGGTTTTTAGCCCTATAGATTTCTCTACATTTACCTATTTTTGTAAAGTCATATATTTCAAGTTGATTTCAATGAGAAAGTGCCGAAAGAGAGAGACATCCTTGAACGGAGCCTCCCAGGGGGCCATCTCTTCCACTGGCCTAGTCAGTGACTGCCTATCACAGAGTGCTTATCTACAGGAGGAGAAAGCTACTTCTATGCTGGAGTGATTAAGAAAAATTCACACAATGATTTGAGTATTAATATTTTCAAAGGCAGATTTTTCAATTCATTAAGTTGAGACCTCTTGATATATATTCTTTGGGGGGGGGTGTTGTCAAGAAATGGTTTCTCTGTATTAGCCCTAGCTGTCCTGGAACTCCCACTATAGACCAGGCTGGCCTTGAATTCAGAGATCCTCCCACCTCTGCTCCCTGAGGATCAAAGGCATGGCCCACCACGCCCACTTATCCATAGATATTCTTTGTAGAGGACACAGGCTAGCAATCTCCAGACAGTGTTACATAAAACGTGTGACCAAATGACTACTACTGTCTCTTTTGGATTTCTGTCTTTATTTTAATTAGCATGCAAAGAAATGGATTTAATTGTGACGACTTTATACATGAATAACTATCTTTTGTCTTAGTCACCTCCCACTGTCCCTTCCCACCTCCCTGCTGCCCTTTTCGTCCTATGCAAATAGTAATCACTTAAACATACAGGAACCTGTTATGGAATATCTCATGTCTCCACAAGACATATAGCTTTGAGAACTACCTACACTTGTGGGATTATCAGTGTGAGACAGGTTCTCCCGGTTATTAATATGGTAAAGACAGAGAAGTCCCTCACCTTTTCGCCCTCTGTGATGATCTGGATAGCATTTGGGATGAGTCGAGCAGTTTTCTCCTTGGTCATGAAGGTTATATTCTTTAAAGCAATGGAAATCTAAACACACACACACACACACACACACACACACACAAAATACTTTTTAAGAACTGAAATGTGTATTTTCAGAAGCATATATAACCCCAAATACCAAGTGCTACCTCAATCTAATCCAGAGTATTAGCAGCTGAAAGGCCTGCTTTAAGAGTTCACAAGCACATGTTGTGTTCTCTATGAAAATCAAGGTCAGCATTCAGACACACTCCCTTCAGCATTCTGCCCACAGATCCCAGGATCTAATGCTCGGACTGAGTGTGAAAGACACGTGGGAGTTCAGGTCCCAGGTCCCACATTTAAACCCTGCACAATGTAGACAGTCTGTCAAGTAACCATGGCTTTGGCAATCAAGCCCTTCCAACCAAACTGTAGTAAATACAAATGGGGCCTGATGTATTGAAATTAGAAAAATACATTACACATTTACACATGCATAAACACATTATATTTACATAAATATAGATACACAAATACATATGATTTCACTTTGGAATCATCCTCAATACACTGCTTTTAAGAGTACTGTGTATATTTCTGACTATGCAATTATTTCTATCAACAAATCAAACTCAAACATATCTTACTGTAGTTTCCCATCTGAAGATGTTGCTATAGAAACACAGCCAGTTTTCTGAAAGGTACAGCCTCCCCTGAAGCAAAATATCCCTCTGAAGGGCACAAGCATAATCTAAACAGACAAAAATGAGAAGGTTATTCACAAAAATCTGACAACTGAACAAACCTTATACTACTTTAGCCTGTGGAAAGTCATCACTGTTCACTCACTCATTAATTCATTCATTCATATACTCTATGCTAGTTATTTTATTATGCACCAAACCCACTGGAAATATACACTAAGCTTATCCTCATGGAATTTTGTAAATGAAAGGTAGGTGTGATGGTTATATTGTCAACCTGCTAGAACCTGGAGACAGGTCTCTGGGCATGCCTGTGAGGGACTGCTCAGATGCCTCAATCAGATTAATTGAGGAAGTGAGACCCACCCTGAATGAATGTAGGCGGTACCATTCCATGGGCTAGGGTACCAGACTGCATAAGATGGAGAAAACTCACTACTTTCTGACTGAGTGCAATGTAACCAGCTGCCTCAAATGCCTGTCACTGTGACTTCCTCCTTTCATGGACTGTGAGCCAAGATGAAGCCGTTCTCCAGGTTGCTTTTGTCAGGGCATTTTACTGCAGCAAAGGAAAAGTAACTAATACAGTCAGGAAAACAGTTCCCATGGCAGGGAAGGCAGGTGGTGGTAGCAGATTGGTCAGGATGAAGAAGCAGAGAAGGGGGATGCCAGTGCTTAGCTGCCTTTCCCCACTTTCCATTCTTGTCCAGCACAGGACTCAGCTCATGAGATGGTGTAACCCACATTTAGGGTCTTCCACGCCCAGTTAAAACTCCTGGAAATTTACTCATAGACACATCCAGAGGTGTATCTCCTAGGAGATTCCAAATCCAGTCAGGCTGACTATGATATGTAAGGTGACCCAACCTCAAAAGAGAGAAAGGGGTGGGTACCAATAGAATCTGGAGAAGATGGACCCTTAAGTGTAAGGAACATAGTAGATCTATGTTTTTTTTGTTTGTTTGTTTGATTTTGGTTTTGTGTTTTGTTTTTTTTTGTTTGTTTGTTTTTTGTTTTTGTTTTTTACGAGACAGGGTTTCTCTGCATTGTTTTGGAGGCTGTCGGTCCAGCCTGGCCTCGAACTCACAGAGATCTGCCTGCCTCTGCCTCCCGAGTGCTGGGATTAAAGGCGTGTGCCACCACCGCCTGGCTAGATCTATGTTTTTAAGTACCACTTTATTCAGGCTGTAAAAACTGGCTTTTGTGGAGACCTTGCACAACCTTAGAGATGGACCTAACTGGGGAACAGGGAATGAAGAAACAACACACACACATACAAAAAAGCTAAGGTTGGGTGGGTGGGTCATACACTCTGATGGAGATACACCAGCAGGAGCCTGCCAACATCTCTTTCATTTTAAGCTTCGAACCAAGGCAGGGTTATTATATACAACTGAACAAGGAGGCTAGTTTAGCTAATCTTGGGGTTCTGTAGGGGATCAGCCTCATGTTACAGTCATTGGGGAAAAGATGCTGTGGTTGATAGTTTCTACAAATACTGTTTTAGCTAAAGGTCAATCTGTCATCAACACTCTTCTTGGACCATGGGAAGACTTTGCCATTTCCCTGAGCCTGACCCAGGGAAGGCTTTGCCATTGCCAAGAATCTGAAGCACTGGGATCCCTGATGTGGCTATGCTCATGTCAACAATACACATTCACTCAGGACTTCCTCCCCAGATTCTGTAAGTCAACTACACATCTTGGAAAAAGTTTATAGTGCCTCAGACCAGAAATATTAAGATTCAAAGACATTTAGAAAATAGCACTAACGCAAATTGGTGATGGATTAGATGTTGGGTAAGAATAAGATAATGATCAGAAAGCAGTATGGAGCTAGAGAACATGCTAGCATGTATGTTTAGCATCCTCAAAGCCCTGGCTTGTATCACAGCACAGTACAAGCACACACATGTACTGTGCATTCTTCCCACCAGCCTAGTTCCTGGGCCACATCAGTCCCAAATGAACAGGCAGGATGCTATATGGTTTCTTAATGGCTAACTCTTATTTAATTATTAGCCCATAATTACTAATATATATTTTATAAGGTCATATCTTACCGAGAACACCAGACTTGCACTTGCGCCCTCTCTCTCTCTCTCTCTCTGTCTCTCTCTCTCTCTCTCTCTCTCTCTCACACACACACACACACACACACACACATCTGTATACAAATTAATTCAGTTTCAAGGCTGATCCTGTCCACATCAACATTAAAATCTTATAAAATCAAATCTGTTAAGAAGAAGAAGGAAGAAGGAGAGGAAGGAGGAGAAAGAAACTATGTTATTGCCTACCAAACAAGTTAATAACACCATTGTGATAGCCTTAATTGACAATTTACACAATCTAAGCGAAGAGTCTCAATGAGAGACTGTCTAGGTTGGATTGGGCTGTGGGCATGTTTCAGGGGATGCTCTTGTAGTTAAGGTGAGAAGACTAGACCATTGTGGGTAGCACTGTTCCCTGGGTTTCGGTCCTAGCTTTTGTAAGAGAGAGAGTACCGAGCAAATGCAGGCATACATTCATGACTCCTGATTATGGATGTGGTGTAACCAGCTCCCTCATTGTAACAGATGACAACCTAGAACTGTGAATTGAAATTAATCCTCTCTTCTTTAGCTGCTTTTATCGAGCTATTTTGTCTTAGTAACTGAAGAGGAAACAAAGACTAGTTTGCTTTCAGTTGTGGTAAACACTGGGACCCAAAGAAACTCGGGAGATAGGGAAGGGCTCATTTGGCTTACACTTCCATGTCACTGTCTACCATCGTGGCTGGACCTAGAGCAGAAACCATGTAAGAACCGTGTTTTCTGGCTCGCTTGTTAACTGCTAAATTTTAAAACTGCATCAGGTAATTTTTTTATTTTAAAATAAAACTTGTCAGGCATAGTGTTATACATTTTAATCCCAGAACTCAGGAGGCAGAGGTAGGTGATCTCCAGGAGCTCAAGGCCAGTATGATACAGGGAGTTCTAGGACAGCCAGGGCTACATAATGAGAGCCTGGTTCAAACAAAACAAACAAAATTCAATAAAAATATTGAATAAGCTTCAAAATATTTAACCCTAGTTGTGTTAAAGTTCTAACCAAACACTAAAAACTGAGCAAGGTAGTCAACCTTTCACCTGCTTCCTTCAGGAAAAGGAAAATTCAAATAAATAAACCAACAAAACTGAGACGTCACCAAACAAAAATTCCTGGTAAATAACCAAGCAGATTAGGTTGCTCGTTCACTAGTGTGTGTCTCCCAGACAGACTGGATTAAAGGTCATCTTCCGGTGCCATGACATTTTTGTCATCCAGTGCTTCTCAGACGTGAGAAATACCTGTGATAGCACAGAGTGCCAGCCCTTCCCCACAGCTCTGATTAAATAGGTCTGGAGCAAGGTCAAGGGGAATGTGTCATGGGCTGTCAGATGGTGCCCGCCTTGCTATGCTGTACATCACCTGCACTGTTTTACACTAACCATACTGAAAGCTACAGCACACACCTGCAATATTTTAGCAGAAAAATATTTGGTATACATTGACAGACTTTTCAGTAACTTTTAAATGCATCTTCCCTGAAATGTGTGCTATCATGATAAATGTAGACCAAAGTAAAATTGCTTAAAATTGTGGCAAAGAAAAATAAACATAAAACATAGCAAAGGCACTACATTATATCACACACAAGAGATAAAGCATTTTCTCCTGCCTTTGTGGAGAGGTATTCAAGGTTGGCAAGAGATTTTGTACTGAATTACATGACCACAATATAACATTATCCTATTTGTACCTCAATCTTGTTCACTTAGATAATCAGATGATTCAAAAATAAATTTTGAGTGATAGCGTCACTAAGAAAAAGAATAGTCTCCAAAACAATTCTTTCAAAAGGGGTAAAAGTATGAATATCATTACTTTAAAAAAAGCAATGTGTAGAACTAGTAAAAGTTGGAAGGGATATTAGTTAGACATGTGTTCATTTCCTTCCCCTTCTACAAACTTCTTTAAAGATGACGAAGCAGACATTTAATCACTTAAATTCCAAACAGTGATGAGGGTGGCGTGGGGAGGTACCTTAGCAGACTGAAAGACTGTATATGGTTTTAGAAGAGAGGAAGCAGGGGCCAATGAATAAACCCTCAAATAAATGAATAGAAGCAATGAATGGAGCTTCCGCTCCAAAGCGCACAGGAGAAGGCTGCAGTAGAGGGTGTTCTCATTCTCTATGTCTGCACGAGGTAAGTTTACAACAAGGACAAACACAAAGTGATGGACTGACAGGCTCCTACAGCAGACCTTAGCCACACTCAACTCCTCTCCAAACACTGGCATCACCCGCTGCCCAGCTTTTATATAAGAAAAACAGAAATTGTGGAACCACATGAAGCAAATGCAGCCTCTGGTGTGAATGTTAGTGCCACAGGGAAGAAATCTTTTGACATGCAAGAGTGGGAGGATAGTGCATTTGAAATATCACATGTCATCCAAAAGCCTTGTGTTCAAGGCTTGGTTCCCAGCCTGAAGCACTACTTGGAGGTGACAGAACCCATGAAGCAGGGGGGTCTACTGGGAGGAAATTAAGTTACTGTGAAGTGGTAGCTTCTGCTCCACCACACAGTCCCTGCAATAATTAACTGCTTCAATGCAGATCTAAAGCATTGGTGACATGGACCATGAATGTGAACATGTGAGGTCATGAGCCAAGGTAATGGGGGAATGTCCTTCTGTGTGTGTGTTTCTCTTATTGGTTGATGAATAAAACACTGATTGGCCAGGCAGAAAGTATAGGTGGGACAATATGATAAAAGAGGAGGAGGCAGAGAGAAGCGGCCATGTAGCCACCAAAGGAGTAACAGGACTGGGCATTCTCTGGTAAGCCAAGACCATGAGAAAATACATAGATTTATAGAAGTCGGTTAGTAGTTAAGACAAAGCTAGCCAATAAGAAGCCCTAGTCATTGGCCAACACTTATATAATTATGTAGTGTACGTGTGTTTATTTGGGGCTGAAGATAGGTGGGACCTTGTGGTAAACAAACTCCAGCAACACCAAA